TCGTTGGGCTTCTCCTAGGGTTGTAACTTAGATGGGTGCCAGACGAGAGAGTTACACTTCTGATTGCTTTTCGACTATCCTGCTGCAGGTGATGAAGCAAAGTGCCTCCTTCTTAGAAGTGTGAGGTTTGCAGACAGCAACTTGTTCTGCCCTGAGGTGGGAAGTTGCCTTGCCTTCCCCCCAACATGCACACTGCGTTTTCCCCCTGCTCGTTTATGTGAATAATAATGAACCACCTGAGGGGTGAAATGACTGAAATGATTTCTCTCCCTGTTTCTCTTTGCAGAACTGAAGACTATATGAAGTTGTCCCTAGCCTCCTCCTAAAGGCATCCCCTGGCATCTTTAAAGGCTTGAGAGAAATACCAAAACCAACCAAACGCACCCATAAGAGAAATCCATAAACCCTCAAAACTTGGGATCCCCTTTTGGTCTGAAGTTGAGTTCTTCAAAAACTCCTATGGTGTGAAATTTGAGGAGATCTTGTTGTGTGGCTCCATGGACTGGGGCTGGGCCCAAGCAATGACTTGAGTTGTGTTTGGGGGGCTGGGATGAACCTTCCTCCCTCTCCCTCAAACAGAACCCAAACTGGACACTAAATATGCAGCAAGTCTACTAGTTGTGTTCATTACCATGTATTAGGCCTGCCATGAAATCTGTGTTGTTCCTTTACTGTGGGGGGTGAACCATAGCTCTTCTCCTAGACCAGCCTGGACTATCAAGCTGTTTCTTCTTGGGGCCAAACTCCTCTTTCCTACTGGGGGCTGGGAACTGCCTGTGATTTCAAATGTTGTACAGTGCTGCTTTATTCTGAGGGGTGGAGGGACCACGTGGGGTCCAAGTGAGGGATAGCAGATGGTAGCTGGACTGACTCAAATCTTGCTTCTGTAGTTATTTTAGAAGAGCGCTGATTCTGTAGGTAGACAGAAGACTCAAGAAGTGACAGATAGTTTAGCTGTTCTGCTTGTGGCGGAGGTTTAGGAGACCACACTTTAGCTGCTTTAATATCTGGATTCTCACTTTCCCCTAATCCAGTTCCCAAGAGGAGAGACCCAAGGAGGTAGCTATGGCATCAGAGGTTCCCTCTGGGTCAGGATGAGATTAGTGAAGGTCCTGGAAGAGACACCCTCCCCACTCCTCTGCCTGCTTGCTGTTCCAGTGCCCTCCTCTCTTGTGGCTTGTCCCCTGGAGCCAGAGATGGGTGCGTGTACTTGCTTGAGACATAGCAGGTTTCAAATCAAACCCAGCTGGTTTGTGAGAGTGAGAAGAGGGTCCGAGTCCTCTAGCGATGTTGCAGAAGCACCAGGCTGGGTGGCGATGTGTCCTTCAAAGTTTTGCTTTCACTGCCGGACAACTGCCTCTTGGCTAACGCTGCAAACATATCAGAAACACAACAGGCTGCTTTCCCCCCCCCCCCGCCTCTTTTAATTCCTATGCAGACAATACTTGAAACCTTGTACACAGTTGTCCTTTCCAGCGCTTGGGGTCGGCAAACTCGTAATAAAAGGGCTCATTTAAGGAACAGCAGGAGGCTTCAGCTTTAGAAGAGGCTGGGCTGCCCCTTCCCAGCCGACAACTGCAAGTGTGTTCAGTGGTTTGCATATGAATTTAGGCACATCTGGACCCTCTGCTTCAACACCCGCTGGTACAGCTGCTGTCTCCCCTCGGTGCTGGCTGGCTGACTGTGTCCCAAGCACCCAACTATGCAAATAATGCCTTATATACATTGTGTTTAAGTTACATGGCAATATGTACATCGAGCAAAGTCTATAGTTGAGTCCCGATTTTTGCTAGTGGCAGCGAGTCAAAGTATTTCTTCAACTCAAATGGCTGTCTGGGTATTTTTTACTTTTGTCTGTTTTGTTTGTTTGTTTTGTATCTGATGGTGGCTCTTATACAAAGGACTGTAATTCTAGTGGCTTGAATCTGTAAAAATTGCCTTTGTTTGGTCCAATAAACCTTTGAATAGTTTATTTTGTTTGTGCTTGTCCTCCCTGCCTCCAGCAGCTTGGAACTTCTTTCTCAAGAGATTTGTGTTGAAAATCTGGATTTTAGGTTAGAGGTACATTCTGCCCTCCTATGCCTTTTACTCCATAAATGATTCCACTGGCTTCCTTAATGATAGAGTCAGACCAGTGGCAAAAGTCAGGGATTTTCCCCTTATTTCTGCTGAAGCAACAGTGTCGCAGCAGGATCCTGGTCTTGTTTGGCTGCAGAACAATTAGCAACATTCCCAAGGCAGAGCTCTGCCCAGGATTGCAGTGCCTGAAACGGAGATCTCCTTTAACATACCTATGGCTTACTGCCTCAAACCTCCAGTTAATTGTAAAAGTCTTGGGCTGCAATGTCTGAAAAGAACCTAAGGGAGTTAAGTATGCAAATTCAATTGCCTATCAAGAAGAATTAGGCTGCTTTGAAACCCCTTAATTAATCTGTTTTGTCAGCAATAAGTAAAATCCTGTTTGACCTGCTGAATCCAGATAGTTTTGAGGACAGCACTTATGGGATGAGAGAATGATTTTACTTGTGAATGGGGTAGGTTTGATCTGAAATCATCAAAACCAGCTCAACCTGGAGCACTACAAAGTTGTTTTGCAAGGTCGCCTTTGATAAGAGAAGCTCCTTTTTGAAATCAGTTTCATATTTTTGATGCCTTACTCTTCTTCCCAGGCTCTTTTCTCTCTTTATCTTTGTGTTGCTCTCCCTTTGTTGTAGATTATGTAGTAACAGCTCTTTTTTATTTCTGTTTTTCAAATGCACAGTCGTACTTAAAGTTGAGGGGAGAGCTAAAATGCATTGATGTTGCAGCAAAAAAAAATAGAGTGTCTATTGTCTGTGATCATGGTTTTGGAGGTTTGGAGACAAGGAAACAGGCCTTTGGGGAGATTTCAGCAGTGTTAATGCCCGTGTAATAACGAGCAAGGGATGCAGACCTGTGTGGAGCACTCCCAGCTGGCATGCCGACACGTGAGGCGAAGCCGTGTATTGAATTTCTCCACACCAGACTGGAAATATGCCCTCTGGTGCTCAGCGGTGATCTAAAATAAAATATTGATCACTAACGACTGTGCTTTCCTTTCTCTCCTCTGGAAATGGTAGTTGGATGCTATTCATCTGAGCACAAAAAATCAGAGAAGAGACAGATTCAGGCGCTTGACAGCCTGTGGCCAGAGCTTTCATAACCAAAAGATCCCACATCATTATCGGGTTCTGTTTGGCCGTGGGACAATTGCATTTTAATTGCAATAGAAAAGAATTGGCAAATGAGCTTCCTTTTGCCAGGATCTGCTTTTTTCCTGCCCTGCCTGCTGCAGTGGTGCTGGGAGGACAGCCTCCTGCTCCTGCTGGGGCTTAGTCCAGGAGATGGGGAAATGCAGAGCCTGACTCGGGAGGAGCTCAGCATGCAAAGGCTCCTCTGCTCCTTCCTGTCTGTCTTCTTCCATTGATCTTGTTCTTGGTGTGGTTGCTTCTGGCGTCCTCTCTTCTTTCAAGCAAAGATTGTGTCCTGGTTTTGCATGTCAATAGGTATTTCTACCCCTCCTGTTACTGGGACAGCTAATAGCTTGTCCACACAGGACTTGGGGGAAGACTACCCTACATTACTAATGGCGTGTATTTAAATGGATTAATTACAGTGTAATTAATCCAGTGTATTAAAACCCTGTGCAGAAAGCTGGCTGTAATGGAGACAGAGGACTCTTGACAGGGTGACTTTGTGGAAACAAAGGCCAGAGTCTGTCTTTCTAGCCCATGGGAGGTCTAAGGATGCTACACAACCCAGAGGAGCTGGGATTGCGGCAGATCTGTGCTCTGAGCTGTCACTGAATTCTGGCCCCACGGTCACATAGGGGCAAAATGAGACTTGAAATAATGGAAACTGCATCTCCACAACCTCATTAGTTCTTTTAATCTCACACAGGAGTCAGGTATGGGGTGTGCTAGGCAATACTGCAATCTGACCCCAATCAGGTAGGAGTCTGGCAATGAGAATGCACCAGCCCACAGCCAGCCCTGATTGGAGCCAAGGTGCACATTCATTTTGCCCTGAAAGAGGATTTTGTAGACAGCTGCAGCAGTTCACAAGCTACTTGTGAACAAATGACACTCCTGTGCTGCCTGCCCTTCTCTATCCCAGAATGACGATCAGTAGATGTATGACGAATATAAGCCCTCCTATAACGGTTCCTCAGATAAAGCCTTGTGACAGATACAAATCTTTGTGCTGGAGGACATACAACAATGGTTAACTGCTTCAGGTTAGAGAAAAATCAGGATTATCATCTGTTATGTGCAGAAGGGTGTTAATCATCTACTACGGGACTTTCTAGGCATGGAAATCTGGGCTAGGTGGTCCGCTGGTCAGTCTCTGCCCACACAGGGATCACCTTGCTGCTGGACGGGCTACACAAGTCCATCTCACCATCTGACATCGTTGGCAAACGAACCCTCAAATCAAAGCAGATTTCTGTCTGTGATCTTATATTCCAGTAGTTGATTAAAGTCATGTCCACACTAGAAGGTAGTCTGGTCTCTAGTTTTAAGGTAGGGTGTGCATTTAAAATTTAATCACTATTCCTGAATTACTCTGTATCTACATACTGTCATTACAGAATGAAAGGACACTGGGCTGGTGAAGCTTAATCCAGTTTCATTACGGACTTTGCTAAACTGGGACATGTTGGTCTTACAAAATTCCGCGTGTTGAGTTATCTTGAAACTCTGAGCATAGATAGGCCCTCAGGAACTCCAAAGCTAGTGTTAAAGCAGTCTGTTTTATCTCCATCTTTAAAGAACTGCAGAGACATGCAGGATGATTGGATGGATGAAGGTGGAGGAAGGAGAACCAGAGGCTATCTCTTTCTTATCTCACACAGGCAGATTTCCTAGTAAGGCTTGTAAAATGACCTGTGTTTGGTTTCATGTTTCGTTTGACCATGGTGTTCTTGCTCAAAGTGCCTTCTGGGGACTAGCTATTCCTACTTCTCCTTTTCTTCTTGACAGGGTTCAGAGAGAGCAGCTGGCTGCCATCTTCAGGCTCATGAAGGAAAAAAGTGACACATTTGGAGAGATGTCTGAAGGAGACATGAAGGAGCAGCTTAGACTGTATGATATATAACCTTGCAGCTAGTGGAGACTCTGCCCAAAAGTAATCTTGGCCTTTATTATGCAGGACACTGGAGGCTGTAGTGCTATAAACATGTTTCAGTAGTTATTTTGCAGTTCCAGTTTGTTTTGCAAACACATATAGGCCTGTGATATGTATTTCAAAAGACTGGTAATTTCTCACCCTTTTTATTGTTTTTCCTTGAAGAGCTATCACAACTTTTTCACCTTGTACAGAGATTTTTACCTCTTTCTGGCTGGGTCATATGTCTCAGTCATACAAAGCAGTTAAACTTGCAACTTTTTTCTGGCCATGCTTTATAAAAATGAGCTTTCAAGCCTAGTCTTTAACAGTTTGATATCTGAAGAAAGCCAAAGATGATAGACGTAAAATGGATGAAAATAATAAAATTGTAGAATAACTCAGGTTGGAAGGGACATAAGGAGTTCTGTAGTCCAACCTCTTGCTCAAAGCAGTATCAGCTATGAGACCAAGCCAGGTTACTCAGGCCTTTATCTTGTTGCGTCTTGAAAACCTCCAAAGATGGAGACTATACAACCTCTCTTGGCAGAGAGGCTTCCAATTCTACAGTTAGAAAACGAATAGCCAAAGGCAAGGCATTAGTGCTCCAATTAGAGGTGAGTTGCTGTTCTCATCTCCTTGGAAGGAATACTTCATCCTCCTTCCTGCTGGCTTTTGGAAACAAATCCAAGTCGGTTCCGGCTGACCTTGTTGAGCTCATCTTCACGCCTGAGAAAACAGCAGTTAACTTCAACCTGGAAACAAACGTCTCTTCGACTCTTGACACGGGTAACAGTAGTACAGAAAGGTGGTTGGCTTTTTTACAAGGATGGTTGTGTCCAACTCAGTTCCTGTTCTCCTAATATAAAAATGATATGGGAAACTATATACTTAGGAAATCTCTGTGAATTTATTAAGTATTTTGAACAGTCTTGACCAACCCTTGGTGGTTTGGATAGAGTAAATCAATGAGCATTCCTAATTTTAACGGAATGTCTTCTGGTGTACTTATCTCTCCTATGAAATCCTGTTAAATGCTTTCTTATCAGGGAGGATTTTCTCAGTTTTAATAACTGGTGACAAAGGGAGGCAACATTTTCTGACCCAGTTTTAGGGAATGATCTCTTAAAAGATTAGCTTTGCTTTATTTTGTACAATCCTTTTGAGTCTGGGAAAACAAGTATCTCATTATCTGATCACTGTTTTCCACTACAGTGTATTCTATAACACCCTACTATTTGACTTTTAAGAGTAATTTTATCTTCTCATTGTTTTCGCTGGGGTGAAGGCATGTTTATTATGAGAACAAGCTGGTTTTACTACCAGTCATGACTTAATCTAAATTCAATGTCTGAAAATTACTTCTTCTTATTCAACATGAAGGAATTAAGTGGGAAAAGGCATCTCATGATGTGAAACTTCTGTGTCCCTAGGTCACAATTTCCTTTGTCAAGTTGTGCAAAGAGAGAAATGTAGGAAATTTGTATATGGGACTTCTCCATAGTTAAAAACTGAATGCAGGCGCTTTTCCAAAGCTCTTCTTGAAAGCAAGCAAAGGAGAGTTAAGGTTTAGTTGATTTTTAGTCTTTGTCTTGTACACTTTTCAGTTTATTTCCAAAATATTTTTATATTTCTTCTTTTACATTTGGGCCTTCTCTGAATAGGAACATTTGTGGGAAAAAAAAAAATTCCTCAAACTCCTCACTTTCACATTATGCCAGCAAAGATAACGCTGAGTAAGTCAGAGCAGCTGGCATTAAACCTGTCCTGTCCATATCAGCTCTGAGCAATGTCATCAAAATGTTAAGATGCTGTTGATGACAGAACAGGGGTAAAGATCTGTCATTTACTAGGCCTGAATTTAGGAAAGAAATGAAGTAAAAAAGCCTGTGCCCGAGACATGAGACAAAGGGATGTCTAGATGTAAAACCCACGGGTTGTAAATGGTAAGTTTTCTCTGTGTGCTGTAATAAAGAGGAGCCCACTGGCCAGGTCTCTGAGCCTGTGCTCGGCGGTGGGGAGGTGGCGTTCGGAGACCGCCTTCAAGGCCACAGGCTGCCACTGGGACCTGCAGCGATGGAGGACATCCCAACTTGGCCAGCCAGCTTCTAATTTCCTTTTCCCTCTGGACTCATCTATATTTATACAGGATATTTCACCAGTTGCTATGGCAGGATCTCCCCTTCTGGCAATTGTCCTTTGAATAACACCGGCAGCTTTTCCTCAGCCTCATGCTGGGCTGTGGGGTACAAAGTGGCCGTAGATAGTGGGGCAGGCAAAACACTGTGGGAGCCCTCGGGGAGACGTTTCTCCCCTTTGACAAGCTCTGGGGTCACAAACACGGGCGGGAAAATCCCGAGTTGGTGCTGGCGCAGAGGGGCCTGTCACAGCCCTACATAACATGGAGGCCTGGTCTGCTGGGAGCCCCGGCCGCCCCGGGGCAGCTCCCGCAGCCGGATGCAGGTCCTGCCCACGGCTGTCCCAGATGCTTCGGGAAGGTGGCCGGGGTGTGAGGGCAGCCCAGTCCCGGCGCGGCGGG